GTGCCCTCACAGCACCCTCTCCCTTTCTTCAGGCCACCTTCTCCACTGCCCTCACACCACCCTCTCCCTTTCTTCAGGCCACCTTCTCCACTGCCATCACAGCACCCTCTCCCTTTCTTCAGGCCACCTTCTCCACTGCCCTCACACCACCCTCTCCCTTTCTTCAGGCCACCTTCTCCCCTGCTGCCATGCCACCCTTTCCACTGCTCGCACGCTACCCTCTCTCTGCCCTCACGTCACCCTATCTCTTTCTCCAGGCCACCCTCTTCCCTGACCCCACACTACCCTCTCCCTGCCTTCACATCATGCTCGATGTTTACCTCAAGCCACCCTCTCCCTGACCCCACACCACCCTCTCCCTACCCCTACCCCCACCCCACACTCCCCCTGCCTTCACATCATGCTCGATGTTTATCTCAAGCTCCTCTCTCCCTACCCCCACACCACCCTCTCCCTACCCCCACAACACCCTCTCCCCAATTCCTATGCCACTGTCCCCACTGCCACAATGTCTCCATTCTATGCCTCTATGTCATCATCTCATCCACAGCATTCGTTAGAGAGCAGAAGACAACTATGAATGTTGCGATCATTGCAAAGAATCAATAATGATAAATCAATCATGATCAATGATTCATATCAATGATGATGCATACTAGTGACTTCCAAGCATTTTCCAACTACTGAATGTTCATAGTGTACCACACGATCGAGGTATGGCAAAATTGGCATAGCAAGGAGCTAAATATAACAAGGAGAGGAAGCGCCGCCATATCTGGCCCAAATTGGAGTTCGGCAGAGACCCTAGAACAGATTAGTGTTCTATTGTCTTTGGGTTCGGTCTGCACAGGCGTTTCACCTGATTATGGTCCAAAAATGGCGCCCTTGAAGCAAACAGCACACAGCCAATCCGCTTCCTCTCCTTGTTATATTTAGCTCCTTGTGGCATAGAACCATGTTTCTATTCACTCCTGACAATTATAATCAACTAATTAATGCCAACAAATTACGTAATCACGCTGCCTTCCATACAGGTTATTGCAAGCATTCTGGTAAGCTTTCCAATTTCACGGCCGGGCATTTTTTCACGGAAGTCCTTACAGTTCATATACACGGAATGTCACGGCACTTCGGAATATGAGTTTATTCGGCATCTTCAAGATTACGTGATATTGCCTGGAGAGAACCTGCACAATATCAGAGTCTCGACCGCCCACGTGCATTCCCCTCTCTAATGAAAGTTCTGCTTGATTCCACGATTTCATTCCACGTGCCAGACGAGATTAAATTCTTCAAATGCCCTGCTTGCGACGGCGCGCGAGTGCAGGCCGTGGCCAGGATTCACGAAGATTCGACGCGGAGACTACGAATAACACGTACGGTGACCTATACACTGTTGATGTAATAGAATATGATCTCGATTATTCCAGAAACCATGAAGCTTCAGCAAACATTACGCGCATGCTATTTATTACGAGTGATGAGTCATTTTAACACGGACACACAGCGTACTATGATGATCATTTCTACCAGATACAGACATGAAGTTCTTGTTTAGTACACAATTCTGTCCCCGATCAGTAAATAAGTAGAAATAAGTAGAATTGCATACAGGAATAAAATTTTGCTTCTGCTTCGATCGTTTGCATTGCCAATTTTTTTCAATAGATTCAAGTGTTTGAAAGGGAAGCAAGCAGCAATCTGTATGTACATGCATTATATGTCTACATCCTGGATTCTCACTAACAAATATGCCACTGATCTACAACACCAACGTGACATCAACGACTGTGACCTTAAACGACAACAAAAACGCTCGAGGAGTCACATATCTGTCTCCAATCCGACTTCCCTATGTCGCACATCTACGTGACCCTTATCTAAGATTGTTTTCCAAAAAAAAACCACACACACACACACAGAGAGAGAACGATTGTAGGCCAGCGAACAAACGCGGTCAATGGAGCAATTACTACCACGGACCGTGTCACAGTTACACGAGCACACACACACACACCTGTCCCTAGCACCCCCGCGCACTCCAGATACCCCGCGGCTACGCGACGCACCGCCGCTTTACGAGCAAAACGTCTCGTAAATTGTCTTAAAAAACCGCTCCGTCAACCGCGAGCGCTACATATAAACAACCAGCATGGCAGCACGGGGCGATTTCAACCGGAAAACAAACTCCAGTAGGACTACGCGCAGAACAATAGGAGCAGTGAATAAAATAGCGGGGGGCGGGGGGGGATATCGCGCGGCTAAAAAAAATCTCCGTGGGGGTTAGTTTTCAGCTATCTCGGGTGTGCCTAATTTATAACAAGATGGCCATCAGTGCTATTTATGGATGTAAGTGGAGTGGCAACACCAGACAATAGGCAGTTGCCTTGCCACGACTGCTGCTGTCACATATGCGAGCTATTCGCTAGGCCGAGTAGGCCCGTTATTGAATATAATTTATGAGCAAGGTTAATTGTACTGACTTAAATCTACCCCCTAATATGTTGCGCAAAATAGCTATGAGTGTGCGTGTGTGTGTGCGTGCGTGCGTGCGTGCATGCATCATAACATTATTGTTGTTGTTGTTGTTGTTGTTGTTGTTGTTGTTGTTGTTGTTGTTGTTGCTGCTGTTATTATTACAATTGCATATATATGTAGTAAAAGCCAGCTTGGTTTTTTCAACTAGGCTAATAGCTGCAGTCCTAAAGACACATGCGCGCGAGCATGTGGTTGGTGTGGAACTCTAACGAGTTGTTTACTCTGTGTCTCGTAGATCGCTTACTTTTACTAACATTTTAACCCCATACGGAGGGTCCTGAGAAAACAGAGGTAAGAAGACACTTTGATTATCATTACAAACCAATTGAAAATGTTTCGACCAGTCGAAATAATCAGTTAACCAATATATAAATATACCCTCTTTTGAAATTATCACTCACGAAAGAAGCATAAGACTTTTGTCGATTTTCAACATATGGCACGAAAAATGTTCTGATGCCTTTTCGTCTGCACTCGATATGACTTCCAATCTTCCATGCTCGCCTCACGATAACATGGGAATCTGGACTTTTAAATACAGACGTTATAATCGCTAATCGATAGATCTATAAATCAATTCATCAGCTTCTCAGACAGTCATAACAATGTAAGCATTAATAAATCAATTACATATAAGCATATATCACCAAATAGTGTAGCGAAAAGCACTAATGATAATAAGGATAGTAATGATGATGACGATGATGACAACGATGACAACGATGATGATGATGAACAAGATGAAAATCAAATTCATATCACCTTCTGGAATAAGATCTTGATAGTAGTATTATTTGCCAGGCGGCCATTTTCTAATTTTGAAATTGTGATTACGACATGACCGTACTAGCACGTGGGGAGCGTTCCCATCCTGTACAAAACTGCATCATTATCGTTATGCAAATACTCACTAGCTGCGACGACATATATATATATATATATATATATATATATACCGGTAGAGTCGATGTCGACGTTTAACTAACCACCATGTACATGTAATACAGACATCGCTAGCACCCCGACCCCGAGTGCAAACGCTGAGTCAACCGTGAGGGCGCTCGCTCGCTGGGGGCCTGGCGAAATTTTACTCCGCTCCCATTTTTCAAACGTGGTAGTTAAACGGTGATAGTAATGTCCCGTATTAGGTACACCTGACACGCCGGGGCCATACCCAGACGACGTCCTACCGACCGCGAGATAAATTCATTCCAGTGTCGTGCACCAGAATTTGTTTGCCAGTCACACTCCGCTGCATCGCCCCCCCCCCCTCGCTCCACACCTCGTCAGCAGCAAAGTCCAAAGAACTCTCCTCGCCGACTCACACGTTAGGAGAGAAAACGAGGGCATAAGGACAGGCAGCGGGATCTAGACTGACGCGACGTCCGTCCGAGTTCGACGTAGTCGCGCGCGCCGCGACGCCGGGCGTGCGTCTGCGCGGCGGCGGCGTGCAACTGGTGCCACTTTAAGAGGGATGTGAACTCTGTGTAACAATTCTAACAATTCTTGCGCCGCGAGCGGGCCCCCGTCTCTCTCTCGCTCTCTCTCTA